AGAAGGCAAGGGTATGATTATGATTAATACGTGGTGGAAACCGGTGGATGCTACTAAAAGACGGGTTTCCGATTTCATACATTTGCAAGTCGGGTATAAAAGGAAAAATTTTGTGCTTTGTACTCTAAGCTGTTCATGGAAAGAGTTATTTTGTTTACGCCTTATGCGTTCGCACTACTGTTCGGGCCGGCGGTTTACCGTTCACTTTATAAAGAGGTGACCCGGCACTGGGAATCCCGAATCGAGCGCATTCAGTCAGTGCCAACAAAGTTCGGTTTGGCGGGAAAAGCCCGAATCCCAATGTTCGCCAACGGACCCTCCATTGCTTGCTGCTGCTGAGCTGACCCAAGTTGAGGAGGGTAGACACTAGTTAAATTCAAAGAGATATATGCCCGGCAATATTTTTTAGGGGGTTGGTCAGGTTGTATGTATCCTGTACGTTCTCTGCGGTCTAAATCGTTGCGTCACGGTGCATAACGGTAAACCTTGCAAACCGCTTTCCACCGGGTGGGACCGTCCTGAGCAGCATGGACTGAAAATAAATGGCCTGCACACACGCCATTGTAGTGTGACGTCTCTATTCACTGCGAACTCTTCAAGTCATCCTAGCTTGTAGTTTGAGATAACCTCATTCCCCGTGTCCTGTCGACTCGCCGGATTTGCGAAGTTTATGCGACGTCGCCATGATTACAGCGACGATCCGCAGCTCGATAGCGCTGGCATGTGCGTTGGCGACGGTTCTACTCCTCGCATCTCCATGGGTCGCAGAATCTGCAGTCCACCGATATAAAGGCGATCGTTTCTTTCCGGCCTCCGACGCGTTCTTATTTCGGGGGGGTCGTGAGGGTCTCTTTATGTCCACGCCGTACGCTATTGCCAACTGGCAGACCGTCGCAAAAGGCGTGTCTAACGGCAAAGCGTACATTCGGTGAGCATTTAGCGTACATCCAGGGAGGGAGGGTCTCTTTATGTCCATGCCGTACGCTGTTGCTAACTGCAAATCGTCGCGAAAGGCGTGTCGAACGGCGAACAGTACATTCGGTGAGCATTGCAGTCTTTTTTTTTTTTTTTTTTTTTTTGCTGTTTTTCAGCGTGACCCTAATACATGCGGTATACAGCGACCGCCGTACGGTTTGAGTCTGCTCAACGGTGTCTTGATGTCCACGCCGTTCGCCGTTTCTAATAGGCTGACAGACATACCGGACGTGTCGAATGGCGAATATAATGTGTAGTGGTTTCTAACGTTGCCATTACAGTCTCGATGCTTTCATCCGTTATAGCCACATTTGGTACCGCTTTATCCGTCTCGACTTTGTTAACACATACAGCATGTAACTATGCGCCATATGTAGGTCATATACGAGCAAACCATCAACACAATTGGTACATCAAAGCAATGATTTTCGTCTGTTTTCGCGCTTTCCTTCTTTTTTCGCCACCTGATCTGAATCACACTCTCTTCGCCATCAGATTCGATCACCTGGAGTTCCATCGGCTGGCAGAAGAGGCGCAACGCTCGCCGCAGGTTGGGAAAACCGGGCGTATCGAAGCTATCCTCTTCGACGTGGAAGATCGCGATCGGATCGGATACGCCACGTCAGCAAAAACGCGATCCTTCTGCTGCACTCCCGAGCTGGTGCAACGCACTGGGTGCAACCCCGGCCACGTCATCGTCCGGCCAAGGGATGGCGACCACCAGGTAAGGCGTTAAAAAGCCGTACGATGAGATGATGAGAAGGGAAGTTGATGAGGGGAGAAGGCCCCATGTGTTGGCAATCAACTCCCCTGGCAACGACACTCCAGTGGATGATTTCTTCGTCCCAACGCATTTCCTCCTCTCTCCCGCTCATGCTTTGCTTCCCAAATGCCCCTTCCCTTTTCCCAGTGCCCTCTCCCCTTCCCGCTAATGCGTTCCTTTTCCTCAATGCTCCCTGGGTGGTCCCGTGAGGTGGAAACCAACTCCCTTGCCAATGTCAAAACAGTGTTCGTCTACATCAACCCATTTCGTTTCCTCCTCCCCCATACATGCGTTCCTTTTCCTCAATGCCACCCTCTCCCCTCATTGTCCCCTCTCCCCCCGCCCACCCACCTTTCCCAACTCCACCCCAGTGGCCTCGTGTGGTGGAGATAAAACTTTTTGGCATCGGCACCACTGTGGTTGCTTGAATCACCTTTAAAACAAAACATCTTGCTTTTGTCCTCTTTTTTTTTTCAACTACCTCCTCCCCAGTGGCCGCGAGTGGTGGAGATAAATTTCTTTGGCAACGACACCACAGTGGTGGCAGCGCCGTCGGAGATTCGCATCAAGATGACTGGCATGTACTACCTCTGGTTCGTCATCTGCGACAAGAGCATGGCTGGCGTGTCTGTAACGGGGACAACCGTGTGGAAGAACCCTGACGGGTATCTGCCCGGCATGATGGCGCCTTACCTCCTCTTTTACGAGATCATGGCTGTGGTGAGTGCTAGTTTCTGTGTGCGTGTTGATTGCCGTAGTTTCGTAACTGTGAAGAACTGCGGTTCCTTATGATGATCTGGTTTTTCCACTTCTCTTCATCTCCTCTCCCCTCACCACAACCCCTGCCCTCCTTCTCCTCTCCCTCCCCTCTTTCCCCCTCTGTCCCTTTCCTCTCTCCCCAAACCCCGCTTCCCCCCACCCCGCTTCCCCCCACCCCGCTTCCCCCCACCCCGCTTCCCCCCACCCCGCTTCCCCCCACCCCGCTTCCCCCCACCCCGCGTCCCCCCACCCCGCTTCCCCCCACCCCGCTTCCCCCCACCCCGCTTCCCCCCACCCCAATACCCTCTTGCCCTCTCGGCTTCCCATGCATCAGGTGTACACGATCCTGGGCATCATCTGGTTCGCGCAGTACTTCCGCTTCTGGCAGGACGGGCTGCAGATCCACACGTGCATCACAGCAGTGCTCGTGCTCTCCATGGCCGAGATGGCAACCTGGTTCTTCGACTTCGCCAATTTCAACTCCTCCGGCTTCCGCCCCATCGGCACCACCATCTGGGCGGCGACTCTCGGCGCCATCCGCAAGGCGGTCTCGCGCGTGCTGGTGCTGGTCGTGTCGATGGGGTTCGGCGTCGTTCGTCCCACTCTGGGGGGGTTATCCGGGAAGGTTGTGGCACTAGGGGTGGGGTACTTCGCAGCGGTGGAGCTCCTAGACGTGATGCAGAACGTGGGGGCGATTGACGATCTGACGAGCAGCGAGCGGCTGTTCCTGGTGCTGCCGGTGGCGGTGCTCGATGCCATTTTCATCCTCTGGATCTTCTCCGCGCTCTCTAAGACGCTCGCGCAGCTGCAGGCCAAGCGCACGTCGCACAAGCTGGAGCTGTACCGCAAGTTTACCAACGGGCTGGCGATTGCTGTGCTGGTGTCGGTCGCCTGGATAGGCTTCGAGGTGAGATGCGCTGTCTGTGGGCCTTGAGGAGAGGTCGCGGTTGATGGTAAGGAGGTAGATGTGGTGTGTGGTGTGGCAGGCCAAGTGCACGACGCACAAGCTGGAGCTGTATCGCAAGTTCGCGAATGGGCTGGCGATCGCTGTGCTGGTGTCGGTCGCCTGGATAGGCTTCGAGGTGAGATTCTAGTTGCTGTTGTGTAAAGAGGTATGTGTGGTATGTCAGGCCAAGCGCACGACTCATAAGGGGAGCTATATCGGAAGCTCACCGAATAGGCTAGCGATCGCTGTGCCAGTGTCCGTGGCATGGATAGGCTTTAAAGTGAGACAGCAGGTGCTGTGCATGTAAGGGGTGATACGAGGTCAAAGAAGTCAACAGATGTACCTTGGCACATCGGACCCATATAGTAAGGGGTAGGAGAGCAATCAGTCACCGTATAATGGAGTGACTTTTGAGAATTCTCAAAAGTATATTTACCCATCCTTTCCCCCTTATCCTCCCCCGATGTACCTACCCCAGATGTACCTGCGCACATCGGACCCGTACAACGAGCAATGGGAGGGCGACTGGATCACCGGGTGCTTCTGGCATGTGCTCACGCTCATGCTGCTCTGCCTCATCTGCGTGCTTTGGGCCCCTTCGAGAAACGCCACGAGGTGGGTGAGGGCTTCGTTGGGAAGGAAGAATTAAATGAATGGGGAACCACATGCATGTGGTCATGCTGCTGCTGCTGCTGCTCTGCCTCATCTGCGTGCTCTGGGCGCCCTCGAGAAACGCCACCAGGTAAGCCCTGCTCACGTGTTCTGAATGTTGGACCTGCCCTTCCATGCTCACCCTGCTGCTGCTTTGCTGCTCTGCTTCTCACTCCCCCCTTGCATTTGGTACAGATACAGGCATACGCATGCTCAGAGGATGTGCCAGAAGAGTTGGGGAAGGGAGGAGGTGGCACTCGCTCGCATTGATGCTCCTGTTGGTGCATGTACCCCCTCTTGTCTCCCACTCCTTCCTCACTGCTCCCCTCTTTCCTTCTCACACTCTTTCTCTTCGTACAGATACGCATACTCGGAGGATGTGCCAGAGGAGTTGGGGGAGGAAGAGGTAGCCCTCACAAAAGTGTCGCCTTCTCGGGGTGCTGGTGCTGGTGGTGCAGGAGGGGCGGAGAAGAAGCAAGCAGTGAACACAGATGTGTTCTCATTGGATGACGAATTGGAGGAGGGGAAGAAAGAATGAGAGGGGGTGTAGAAGGGGGAGAAGTGGGGAGCTGAGAGCGCAACTGCCGTGCAGCAGGCATACCGGTATGGTGAGGGATGCAGTGAACCCTCAATGTACACGTTTTGAGACATGTCAAAACCGAGAGCAGCAAATCTGTCACCACAAATAGGTTAGTGAAGCCTAATGTCACTCCTAATGTTAGTGAGCCAATTTTCTTCTAACGACATCAAAGCTCTATTACAGAATAGCAATTGGCTACACATTCCATTTTTCCGCAATACGAGTCATTCAGAATTAATTATTATATCCGAGATCGACCACTACTTCTACACTACAAAACTGCTTCACTATTTTGGAGAAAAGGCCAGCAGTGAGCAGGCACATATCTAAGCAGCAGCACCCGCGAAGGGCTTCAGTGCAACCCGGCCAGAGGAAGAGAGCGGGGGGGGAGTGAGCGCAGCAGACCCATCAGCAGAGGCAACCCCGCCACCAGCAACAGTAGCAGCAGCAGCTGTCACAGAAGGAGCAGCAGCAGTATGCAGCATACGTGCAGTCGGAGGACCACACAGCACGCGGGCCTTCCCAGGGTTGAGCAACGAATCTGCCATGGTCCATCCCTCAGCCGCAGCTCTCTCCTCAAACGTCCCAAACAGGGTGCAGGTGAGCCCTAGGCTCTCAGACACTGCCCGCTCCACCTCTGCAGATGTAAGGGACTTTTGCCATGCTCGGGGCCGCTTGGGACTGACTTCCTTGGGGGCCCACCGACCTGGAGAGCTGCTGCTGGTGAGAGCGGTTGGGGAGAGGGCTGTTGGAGTGAAGGCTGCAGGGGTGAGGGCTGCTGGGCTGAAGGCTGCAGGGGTGAGGGGTGCTGGGCTGAAGCTGGCAGGATTTTGGTCTTTGGGAGAGTTTTCAGGAGAAAGGTGGTGAGTCAGCAGGGGCTGCTGACAGGTGTCCTGCCGCCATTGGTGCAGCAGGTGCAGCAGCACGTGCGTCTGGAAGGCCGCCCGCACAACGTCCCTTGATTTGGCTCCTTCCTTGAGGACGACATACGCCCTCCGGTGGCTTGGAAGGTACGTCACAATGTACTGCTCGTCCTGGTGGTGGGAAGGATGGGAGGGGGGGGTTGGTGGGTAGGGTGGGTGGAAGGGTGAGCTAGGGTAGTGGAGAGATGCACTAAGTATGCCCTCCGGTGTGGCTCAGATGCGCTCGCTGGCGTTGTTGGCCTCTGTGGTGCCAATTCCATAAGCAGCAGCAGCAAGCATACCTTGAAGATGGCTTGTGACGCGAGCAGATCAGAAGGGCTTCTGAAGGCATCAGCGACCCGTGCGCCCAGCTCAAGGGGCGGTCCACAGCCCACGGCAGCATGAGAATGAGCTCCCTGGCGTTGGCCCCTTTGGTGCCAATCTCACAAGCAGCAGCCATACCTGATTGATCCGTTGAGAGGAGAGCAGGTCAGCTGGGCTTCTGAAGGAGTCTGCAACCTGTGCCCCCAGCTCCAGAGAGGCTGGTCCACTGCCCACGGCAGCACGAGGATGCGCTCCCTGGCGTTGGCCACGTTGGTACCGATTCTACAAGCAGCAACTGTCAATCATACAAGCAGCAGCCGTACCTTGAAAATCGCCTGTGATGCTAACAGGTCAGAGGGGCTCCTAAAAGCGTCTGCCACTCGTGCTCCCAGCTCCAAAGGCCGGTCCACGGCCCACGGCAGCACAAGGATGCGCTCCCTGGCGTTGGCCTCTGCTAGGGAGGGCACCTGCCCCGTTTCCAGGAAGGAGCGCACTGCCACGGCGAAGCGAGCGCGGTTGAGAGTGGGTACTTGAACGGACTTGACCTGGAGAGGGGTAAAGGGGGGAAAGAGGGGGGGGGAGGGGAGGTTTGGAAGGGCGCTAGGGATCAGGCAGACCTGATGTGTGAGTGAACATGTGCATGGGTGCGTGTGAGTTCATGTGTATGCGTGCCTGCAGATGTGCATGTGTGCATGTAAGTTCATGTGTTTGTGCGCTTGTACATGTGCGTGCATGTGAATGTGCACTTGTTGTTTGATGTGTACGTGTGGCTCATGTGTCCATGTGAGTGGATGTGCACATGTACATGTGTATCATCTCACCTCATTGAACGATGCAAAGAGGTAGCCACAGGAGAGAAGAGCGAAGGTGGCGGCAAGGTGAGGGTTGCTTCTTGCAATGAGAATGCCGGCTCCTGTGCCCATCTGCACACACGTGGAGTGTACATCAGTGCATGCATATTGTCCTTAGAATGACATAACAAAATTACTGATATTGATCAGTAAGATCACACGTCCTCTGCTTGATGCGTCTTGCAAAAGGCACATACACACACACACACCCCTCCCCTACCCACCCACCCATCCACCCCCCACCCACACACACCCCCCACGCACCAGGTCAGCGAGGTTACTGATGCTCTCCCCTTTGGCTGTGATGTCTCCAATGTTCTCCCGCCGCGCAAACGCCTTGTAGATGGGCGCACGGGTAGACGTGTTGGTCACCGCTCCGATGTTCTGAAGGAGGCAAGTGAGGGAAGAGCGCGTTGGGGAGGGAGGGGAACCGGGAGGGAGGGAGGGGGGGGAGAAGGGGAAGGGAAAGAAGGGGAGGGGAGAAGGGGTGGGAGGGAGTGAGGGGATTTGGGATGAAGAGGATGAGGGGCTTGAATAAGTTGACATTCCTAAAAGAAGAATGAGCAGCTTTGATAAGTTGTCTAGAAAGTTGGTTGATAGAAGATAAGGTGATTTTGAGGATTTTCATAAGTGGCTCGTTTTGATGCGTTGGGTGGACTGGCGAGGGAGCGACCAATGTACATACATAAAGCCATCTTAGCACACAGAGCCCACTGAACCGCACCGCACCAACGCAGTGCAATTTGGCTTGTTTTAATGAGTTGGGAGGACTGGCAAGGGAGCGACCAAATTGCCCACTGAACCGCACCGCACCAAATTGCGCCACGTTGGTGCGGTGCGGTTCAGTGGGCTCTGTGTGCTAAGATGGCTTTATGTATGTACATTGGTCGCTCCCTTGCCAGTCCTCCCAACTCATTAAAACAAGCCGAATTGCACCGCGTTGAACTGCATTGCACCTACCTTGAATACGTTGGCGACACAAGCAAGTGGGAGGAAGAACTTGGGGGCGGCCATGGTGCAGAGCTCCACACAGCAGCCGAAGTCAAGCAGCATGTTGCTCAGGAAGCGCATCTGCACGTGAAGGCATGGAAAGAGTGGGGTGCGGTGGAGTGCGGTGGGATTTGGTGGGGGGGTGGGGTTGGGAGGGGAGGAGATGGGGGTGGAGAGTAAAATGAAACGTCTCAAAAGCGCATCTACGAGATTTCATGATAAGTAGGCTGAGAAGCGGGGTGCGGTGGGGGTTGGTGGAGGGCGGTGGGGGCGATTTGAGGGCGGACGAGGGGGAGATACTGAGCAGTCTTGATGGGTGAAGAGCGGTGCACAGGTGCATGCAGCATCCAAGTCAATACTTCCCCCAATCCTCCCCATTACCATTCGAATTTCCTCGCACCTGTTTCAAGTCTCACCTGTTTCAGGTCGCAGTCAAACCGCTTCCCGTGGCGCGCGAACAGCATCTTCCCGAGCCGCCCCGCGCCGTCCTTGAGCACCCAGTTCACCGCCAGCGCGCTCGCCGCCGCGCCGCCGCCGCCCGCGCCGCGCGACACTCCCAAGGCGTGCAGCAGCGAGCGCGTGGTGAAGACGCCCATCGCGCCGCCGAAGAAATACTGATGGGGGGAGCAGGGAGGGAGAGTGGGAAGGGAGGGAACTGTAAATGTAACGCGGGAGCGAGGGAGATGAGGCGAAGGGAGAGGGGATGGAGACGGGACGGAGTGAAGGAAGGGAAGAAGTGTTGGGAGGAAGGGAGGGAGGGAGGGAGGGAGTGTTGGGAGGGAGGCAGGCAGTGTGGGAAGGGAGGGAGGAAGCGAAAGGTTGGGGAGAAGAGAGCGAGTGATAAGGATGCGAATAAGCGTAGAGTTGTCGCAGGAAAGGAAGGAGGGGGGGAGGAATACTTGCAACTACCCTCCCTTTATAGTCCGCCGCCTACAAGTACACTCTCGGCAATACCCTCCCGCTATACTCAAACTGCATACACCCTCCCGCTGTAGTCACCTGCAAGGCGCGCCACCGCATGTACGGCACGAAGGACGGTGCCACGCTGTCCGGAAACCCCTCTGGCAGAAAATTTGTCTTGAAAAAGTCGGTCAGCTCCTGAGGAAACAAAAAAAAAGTGGGGAAGAGAGGGGCATGGGGAGGTGAACGGTGGAAAGGGGGGAGAGGGGGGTTGATGGGGAAGGAGAGGGGAAACGGGAGGGGGCTAGGGTTTTGGGAAGAAAAACAATTTTGGCGGCATTGGGTTCTAACTAAGGCACGCATTATCAGCGCACTGTATTGGAGCATCGTCTAAGATACTGATCCGCGCATTCACTACATCGCAGCGCACTCACCATAACCGCATCCGCGCGCTCTCCCACGTCCTGGATAAAGAACGGCTTTCTCCGCCGCCCATTGCGCCCCCTCCCCGCCCCCTCCGCGCCATCCGCTCCGCCGCCGCTATCATTCGCTACATACGCCTTAGTGGATCCACCCACGCGCTCCCAGCACAGGACCGGCGGACCCGATAGGTCTTTAATCGCCTCGCTTCCGTCACCAGACGCGGCCCGGGTCTCGCCTACTGCCGCTGATCCCCGAAGCTGGAAAGCAGGCTCGGAAGGAGCTGTCGCTAAATCGTTCGCCACATTCGTTGGCTGCTGCTGCGCGGTGGCCCGGTTTGAAATCATGGAATTCTCTTTGGAGTGAGAGATTCTAAGTGGCGGCATGGATACTGTCAAATTGGGGGATATGGGAGCTGAGCCGTCAGCGATAGCGCGAGAATCGGACGTAAATGCTGACGTTGACGTTGATGTTGCCGTTGACGCAGCGGCTCCGCGCGACGGCGACGCCGGGCGTCCCGATTGACCGTAAAGCAGCTTCGCATTCGAGCGTCGTGGTTTCCCAGACGGCTGCGCGCTATTTCCGTTACTTTGGACGTCTGACCGACGGATCTCCATTCGCACCCTCGTGGGCGAACGCTCGAGCGATCGCTGGAGAAGACGCATGGCCGGTTAGCGTTACAAGGACTTGGAGGATGGATCGATGGATGTAACACGCGCCTGATCTAGCTCTTACACGTTACTTAGAGGCGGTTCGAGTGATATCGCTTGCGGATTGCGTAGCACTACGGTCAACTATGCACTACCTGTGTGCTCTGATTGCTGGAACTACCAGTCTAAGCCCAATAAAGGAACCTAACACTGCGTTAAACAACTGTGAAAAGGGTAAGTAGAAATCACTTCTGCTGCAACTCTCCAGCCTTTTCGTCTCTTGGTGAGATTTATTAACAATCCAACCTGAAAATCAAGAACCAAGTCGCATTCGCAAGGGACGGAGGAAATAAAGCGAGATTACAGAAGATCAAGACATCATAGTTTAGGTGAAATACAGAATTCCACATGGCCGTGAAATAGGTAAGGGAGGGTGCGGAAGGAGGGATGCATGCAGGGATCACAGAGGGGAGGGGGAAGGGGGAAGAGGAATACGGAAACAGCTGCGCTCAAAACTCACTGACGCGCAAAGCCGACTTCGCCCGTGCACTTTACAACGAAATGCGAAGAACTGCGACGGGCGATCGAGACAGAAGCTGGGGTGAGCGACGAGGATGAGCGGTTACTTGTTTCGCGAGCTACTGTTTGTGGCGGTTGTGTGTCGAGGAACCCAAGGGGAAACGGCCATGGGAGTGCATGCGACAACTGGTCGCAAAATCTGGCGGGATGTGCGGAATATGATTGGACAAGGGCCATTGATGTAGTACAGATGGACGCATGAACGGCTGACTGCGAATCACAGCTACTCCGGCGACGTCCCCCTCGGTGCAGTCGCAGATTCCCCTCCCCACCAGCATTGGCTCGGCGCATTCGATTTGGCGTTCGCGAAATCAAGGTTGGTCCGATTGGCGGAAGCGACCTCGAGGTTTGCGGTTGGTGGGCAGCTGGCTTTACTTCCCCCGCGCATGCTGACGCTTCCGTTACTCGAGAGCCACGAGCAGCGCTCCGACCCAACTGCAGCTTCCTCGTTTGCTGACGCCGTTTGTGTGATTGCGAGGAACAGCGACCTCGAGAGATGCGGCGTGGAATGTTCGTGACGCGACGCCAAATCAGCAGACAGGTGAGCTCCTTTTGGCACGTGGCGCGATGAGATGCTGGCGTGTGCCAGGGGGGTAAGTGCACCCTATCGCGGCCTTCACTAAGAGAACATAGAGTCACCCCTTATCTGCTGAACCAACGACTACAGCCTAATGGTTACGGTACATCCGTGTTTAGAAACCAATTACTCCAATACATCACATGGATAGAGTTTAGGGTACTATCCTTGTTTGCCTTAAGCTTTTCTTGCATCTCCCCCTCCTGGTGCCTAGCCAAATTAGTCAAACTGTTGAAAGTTTAAACCACTTAGAAACGCATTAACATGGACACAATATACTATGTCTAAAAAGGCATTTGATTTCACAGCCACTTCCTAGTCTTTTCTAGAGCAGTCTCCTAAGCAGCAACAAACACATGAAAGAAGCGATACATGGAAACTCACCGACTGCTCATTCCACCCCTCGTCTCTCTCTCCTCTACTTGTCCTTATCCTCGTGCCGCTTGGGGCCCCTCGATATAAGCACAAGGAAGAAGAAGCATGCCGCATAAGCCGCATACGCGCCGGCCGAGGCATTGGGCGGCAAATCAAGCATGGCACGTTCAAAGATAGTGATGTAGGCGTGCAAGCCCACCCCCAGGGACACCAGCAGCTGCAGCACTGCTCGCAGGCGAATGAACTTGCCCTGCCCTCTCTCTGACGAGCGGATGGTCACACACAGGGAGAGGCCCTGCCGGGGGAGTTTGGGAGGAGTGGGAAAGGGGTGGGAGAGGAGTGGAAGAGGGGTGGGAGAGAAGGGGAGGAAGGGAGGATTGCAAGGAGCGTCACACACAGGGACAGGCCCTGCAGTCAGGAGGGGCCAGGGATGACGGATGAGAGAGGATTGTGGGGCACATAGGCAGGAACAATGTGGGGGGCAAGGAGGAAGAAACACTTGCCTGGAGGGCGAGGTAGCAGAGGTAGCCCCCCCCCTGCAGCAGCTGCAGCACAAAGTAGTTATGCTCCGCAACCTTCTTGAGACTCGCCATCGGCTCCGCGCTTATAACAAAGCACGCCACAAGGAGTACAAAGCAGTACAGGAATAGGTACAGGTTCGCCAGGTGCACGATACGGCGGAGGGAGAGGGTTGCTCGCATGCGCACAAAGAGACCGATGACGAGAGCGAGGGGGAGGAGGAGGAGGAGGTAGGAGAGGAGCGTGGCAAGGAGGGGAGATGAGGAGCCGAAGTAGGGGGTGATCTGGGAGGTAGAGATGGGAGCTTGTCTTGAGGAAGGCGAGACGGGACGTGCGGGCGATCTGAGAGATGTGTGGCAGCACGTGCTTGCTTGCCTTGTCCTGATGGGGTAAAGAGGGGAGAGGAGAGCGGGGAGGGGGAGAGCAGAGTGGGGAGAGGGGAGTGGGGGGACGAGACAAGAGACGGGATTGGAGAGGATGAAACGGAAAGAACAGAGGGGTGACGTGCGCGCGATCTGAGAGCTGTGTGGCAGCACGTGCTTGCTTGCCTTGTCCTGATGGGGGGAGGGGAGAGAGAAGGAAAAGAGGGGCGAGGGGAGACGGGGGAGAGGGGAAATGGGATGGGAGAGGTTCAGCAGCACGCGCTTGCTTGCCTTGTCCTGCATGGGAAGGAGCGGGGAGGAGGAGCCAGAGTAGGGGGTGATCTGGGAGGTGAGGTGGGAGCTGGTCTTGAGGAAGGCGAGGCGCGATGTGCGCGCGAACTGGGAGATGTGTGGCAGCACGTGCTTGCTTGCCTTGTCCTGATGGGGGGAGGGGAGAGTAGGGAGGAGAGCAGCGAGGAGAGAGGGGAGAAAATACGTAGGAAAAGACAGGATGTGCGGGCGATCTGGGATATGTGTGGGGGAACGCATTTGATCACCTTTTCCTGAAGAGCGGAGGGGAGAGAGAGGGGAGTGGGAAGACGGTACGAGAAACGTCTCAAGGGAGGCTTGAAACGGAGCTCACCTTCATGCCTATGAAGAAGTGTTTTGAGACGTCTCAAAACACTTCTTCATACACGGAGGGGAGAGAGAGGGGAGTGGGAAGACGGTACGAGCAACGTCTCAAGGGAGGCTTGAAACGGAGCTCACCTTCACGCCCATAAGGGTGGGCTTGAAGTTCCTCCGGATCCCCATGACCTCACTACACAAGCATGTACGACGAGCCAAAACCACAAGCGCCCCACTCAACCACACTACACAGACCACCATGAATGAACTCACCTTCATTCCCATGAGCGTCGGTTTGAAGTTCCTCCGGATCCCCATCACCTCCTGCATGTACGACGAGTGGGCATCAGCGTCAGCCACAGCCCCGGCCTCCAGCTCCATCTGCTCCTCCTCACTCATTCTCACCGCCACATCCTCCTGAAGGTGCTTCAGAATCTCCAATTCTTCTTCACTCACCACCGCGCCCATGCTCCCCTCGTCGCGCACGACTATGTTCCCCCCTTCCCCCGCGCCCATGTTGCCTTCCCCCGCGCCCATGCTCCCCAACCCCGCGCCTGCGCTCCCTTCCCCCGCCCGCCCGAACACATCGCCGCCCACCCCCGCGCCTGTAATCGGCTCCGAGCCTCCCTCCGAACCTCCAACTGCACCAGCCCCACTGGCGGTGCTGGTGCGGTCAGACGCACCTGATCCAGGAATCATCTCGTCTTGGCCGGGCGTCACTGCAGCTCCTTCCATCTCCTCCTCCATCCCTGCTGCACCTGCTGCTCCCCCGCCTGCCCCGCCTGCATCGGCTGTGTTGGCTGCGTCAGCAGCATCGGACTTTCCATCTAACTCCGCTACTTCTGCTCGTTCTTCTCGTCATCATCTATCTCCTCCGATTTCTCCATGTCATTCGCCTCATCGGCCCCACCGCTCCCACCGCCAACCTCCTCCTCCCTCTTCCCCTCTACCCTCTCCTTCTCCCCCAGCTCCTCCCCACCCTCCACAAGCCTCTCCTTCCTCCCCTTCTTCTTCTTCCTCTTCTCCTTCTTGCTCTTTTTCTTCTTCTCCTTCCCCTTCTTCCTCACCCCCACCTCCTCTTCCTCGCCTCCCTCCCTTTCTCCCTCTCCCTCTCCCTCTCCCTCTCCCCCTCCCTCTCCCCCTCCCTCTCCCCCTCCCTCTCCCTCTCCCTCTCCCTCCTCCTCGACCTTCTTCTCTCGCACCCTAATCCCTTCTTCGCCTTCCTCCCTCTCGTCATCACCTGCTGCCTTCGCGCGCGGTCTATCCTCCTCGTCTCCCTCCTCACTCCCTTTCCTCCCCTCATCCTCCTCAGAGCTCCTCCTCTTGGCCCCCTCACCCTCCTCCCCAATCTCGGCCTCCTTCTCCCCTACCTTCTCCCCTACCTTCTCCCCTACCTTCTCCCCTACCTTCTCCCCTACCTTCTCCCCTACCTTCTCCCCTACCTTCTCCCCTACCTTCTCCCCTACCTTCTCCCCTACCTTCTCCCCTACCTTCTCCCCTACCTTCTCCCCTACCTTCTCCCCTACCTTCTCCCCTACCTTCTCCCCTACCTTCTCCCCTACCTTCTCCCCTACCTTCTCCCCTACCTTCTCCCCTACCTTCTCCCCTACCTTCTCCCCTACCTTCTCCCCTACCTTCTCCCCTACCTTCTCCCCTACCTTCTCCCCTACCTTCTCCCCTACCTTCTCCCCTACCTTCTCCCCTACCTTCTCCCCTACCTTCTCCCCTACCTTCTCCCCTACCTTCTCCCCTACCTTCTCCCTCCCTTCTCCGTCCTCCTCCTCTCCTTCCTCTTTCCTCACTCCCTTCTCCCTCACTCCACTCTCATCCTCCTCGTCCCCACCACCACGCTTTCCCCTCTTTCCCTCCGCCTCCCCCCCGTCGATATCTCCCCCTTCTTCCGCATCTCCCCCCCTAGTCCCCCGCTTCCCCTCAGAATCCACAAGCAAATCTTCACCCTCTTCCTCCCCCCGCTCCCTTCCCTTTCCGCGCGTCCGCTTCGACACGTCATCATCGCCTCCTTCCGCGTCATCCTCCTCCTTTTCCGCGCGCGGGCCATCGTCTGCCTCCGGAATCTCCTGAGTTTCCTTCTTCACACGCCGCCCCTCGCCGTCCCCTTCACCGTTCCCCTCCGTTTCCCCCTCTCCCTCGTCGCCATCCTCACTCCTCTCCTTCCTCCGCCTATCCGCTTTCTCCCCACCCTCCCCCTCGCCGGCATCGTCTTCCGCCGCGTCCGCCTTTTCCGCCTTCCGCTCCGCCACTTCGTCGTCATCCGCGGGGGGGACTACATTTTCGCGCTTCTCTTCCCCAACCTCAGCCTTCTCTTCCTCCTCCTCTCCGCGCTTCTCTCGCTTCTCCTCCGCGTCGCCCGCCAGCTCTCCGCCTTCCGCGCGTTCCGCACCCTCCGCAGATTCTCCTCCGCCTTCCGCGCTTTCTCTCGCTCGTGAAGGCGCCTCTTCATCGTCCCTTTCCGCATTCATTTCCGCGTTTGCTTCCGCGCTTCCCCGGTCATTCCCCTCCTCCCGTCCCCCCCCGGTGGCCTCCTCGTCGCTATCCGCACTTCGCGCGACACGATCCCCCCTCTCTTCGTCTTCCCCAAGCTGTGACGTCACCTCCTTAATCACCTGCTGGAGTTCCTCGGACCGTCGAGGCATCGCGTTTTGTCGACGAAGCTTCGCCTTCTTGCTCGACTTTTTGCTCCCCGACTTCTTGCTCTTGCGACCCTTTCTTTTCTTCTTCTTTCCCTTGCGCTTCTTCCGCGATCCTTCCGATACGTCTCCGCCATCCCCGCCAGAATCCCCCGAACCGTCGCCGTCTTCGTCAGATACTTGGAGCAACCGACGGGAAATGCTATGCTTGACGGAAACAGGCTGCATGACGCTTAGCTGACGGCCGTGCATCCATACCTGAACGTTAGAGTTCAGCGAGCTCGTCAGATCTGAAGTGGTCAATGCCTGGTCGTGCCGTTTCGCTTCGACGAGAGCAGGAAAAGCGTGGCCTGCTATTGTAACGACCACGAGAATGAAAGGAACCAGAAGCTTCAAGGCCCCCATGGCGAGAATGACTGCTTCCGCGGATAGATCAATTCGTGCGCATCGAAATCCAGGTTTTCGTTAGCCAACACTTTCGCGCTGGCAAGCCTGGTTCAAAACAAAAACTTCTGAACCCCCGCTTGTCAAATCTAGACCCTCGTTTTAAAGGTAATTGGAGGTTCTAGAAGAAACTCAGCTCGATGGATGTGTTGAACAGTCATGCCAGAAATTTGACAGAATATCTCAGCGGAAACGGGTCGTCAAGCCTGACGACCTCTTGACAACTTGACGACATGCTGCCCCCGGCAGAAAAAAAACTAAAACCCTATCGGATGGCATGCCATCCGAGGGAGGCATCAACCCTAAATCCAGGCCTCCCTGTGTTTAGGGTTGATGCCTCCCTGACCGGATGCATGCCCGAATGGGTTTTATTTTTTTTGCCCGCGGGCAGCGAGGTCCCCCGGGCGGACTCGCTTGTCCGCTGAGATATATTCGGAGGCTATGGGGGTGTGTGCGAAAGTCTGGAGGAATATCCCAGCAGAAACGGGTCGTCAAGCCTGACGACCTGTTGACGACTTGACGACATGCTGCCCCGGGCAGAAAAAAACTAAAACCCTATCGGATGGCATGCCATCCGAGGGAGGCATCAACCCTAAGTCCATGCCTCCCTGTGTTTAGGGTTGATGCCTCCCTGACCGGATGCATGCCCGAATGGGTTTTATTTTTTTTGCCCACGGGCAGCGAGCTCCCCCCGCCGGACTCGCTTGTCCGCTGAGATTGTGTCTTTCCAGCGGATCAGGAATTCGATCATGCGGGCTCCCCGTGGGTCACGTACTCGGTGGCTAAGTATTTTTTCGGGCTTGATGATTGGCTCTGTTGGCGGTCGTGTCATGCTGGCGGGGCGGTTGTGAGGCTGTTGGCTGGTGGATGGCACGTATGGGCGAAGCAGGCTGACGTGGAATGACGGGCTGACGTACCAGTCAGCAAGGAGGAGGAGGTGGGCGGTGACGGGTATGATCATGTGGCTGATGCGAAATGGCCCGCAATATCGGGGGCGGAGCTTTGGGCAGAGGTTTTGAGTGTCGAGTAGCACGAGGTCGTCGGGCTAGTAAGTGATGGGTCGGCGGTGGCGGGCGGCGTTACGCTTAGCGATGATGTTCGATTTTTTTTATTGCGTCTGCTGCTCAGGTCCGTGCTGCTTGTAAAATCTCTCCGAACTGTTGCGCGCGTAGCACCGGGTTGTCGGGATTCGGAGTCATGGGTACTGTGGGGTCTTGTCCGGAGTTCAGGTAAAACAGTGACTGTTGGGTCGTGGCGGATGGCGAGTTGTTGTACGCGAACTCGATGAGTGGCAGTTGCTGTTCCCAGGTGGTCGGGTCGTCGCACGTGGCTCGGATGCGTTGCTCCATGGTCTGGTTTGTCCGTTCTGTCTGTCCGTCGGTCTCGGGGTGGTACGAAGAACTGAACTGTAGTCGCGTGCCGAACTGCTGCCACATGTTAAGCCAGAAGTTGCTAGTGAATTTCGTATCGCGATCGCTGATGATTGATGCTGGTATCCCGTGCAGTCGAATGACGGTGGAGATGAAGAGGCGGGCTGTTTCTTCGGCTGTGATCGATTTCTTGCAGGCTGCGAAATGTGCCATTTTCGTCAGCCGATCGACGACGACCAGGATCGCGTCATTCCCACTTGCTCCAGCCGGTAACCTCGTGACGAAGTCCATCGTCACCTGCTGTCAAGCACGCTCTGGGGGTGGTATCGGCTGCAACTGTCCTGCCGGCCGCTTCCGTGATGACTTCATGAGTTGGCAGGTGGGACACGATGCCACGTGTCGTTTCACGTCGGTCAGCATTTCGGGCCAATAGTAATACCGCTGCAGCTGTTGCCGTGTTTTCTCTACTCCGAAATGTCTTGAGGTAACCCCGTCGTGTGCCTCCTGCAGTAACAACTCCCTTAGTAAGGTGTAGCATGGTACCCAGATGCGGTCGGTGCCGGCTTTTACGTAATAAACCCCCTTTGCTGCTGCGAATTCACTCCTGTGAAGAACGGGTCAGTTTGATAGCCATGGGTAAATAGTCCTGTTAGTAGCGGGCTGGTCTGGGCGAGTAGTATGGCGTGGATTTGGGCAGTGGGGCGGGTCAGACGAAAACCTCCGTCTTTTTTCGGTGTGAACAGTATCAGTGCGGCGAATGGCGATGAGCTCGGCCGGATGAACTTCTTCTCTAACAGGTAATCTAGCTGCTTCCTCAGTTCATCGAGCTCGGGCTGTGTCAGTCAAAACTGTCGCTGTAGAGTTGGTTGTGCCCTCGGTTCTAATTCTATTCGGTGATCATGTGCCCGCTGAGGTGGCAGTCCTTCTGGTAAATCGCCAGGAAAAATCCCCGGGTACTGTTTCAACAGTTCCTGTAGTTCGGGCGATACCGCTGCCAGCGGTTTCTGAAAATCACTCGGCTGCTCTGCTTCTCCTACCAATACTATATCCACCGCATACAAGTCAGCTCCAGCGGTGACAGCCCGTTTCATCGTGATGGCGTTGACGTGGACCGTTGAAGACTCGGGCGATTGCCAGCGAGGTAGCTCGACCCAGTTACAGCTACTTCGCACAGTGCAGCTACCCGTCGTCCAGTCGATTCGCGGGTTGTACCGTCGCAGCCAGTCACGTCCCAGTAAAATGTCGTGCCCATCTAGTGTCGTCGCGAGCATTTCCTGTGTAAACCCGAAGTTCCCCCCGCAGCGGACTTTTACTCTCTCCACCTTCTCCCGTATGGCTAGCGGCGTGCCGTCGACTAAGCGTGCATCTATCTCCGGTAAACACCGACTAAGTGTCAGTTGCAGCTTCCGTGCGGTTGCGGTATTAACTAAGCTGTGACTTGCTCCTCCTTCTATAAAAATCTTCACTTCTGCTCCCTGTATTTTCCCGTGAATCAGTACTAGGCAATCCGTCAATGTACCCTCCTTATTCATCCGAGCTCGATCGATAGCGTGAATCGAGAACCCGGCGGCCGCTTCACCCTGAAAATCCACATGCCATCGACTATGTTCGCCCCAGGTGGGGGAACCTCGTCGACGTAGGTGCCTGTGGACTTCCAGGATGCCATCTCGGCATCCATGGCTGCCTGCCACTGAGAGGAGTAGGGACCCGTAATCGCCTCTGCGTAAGAGCGCGGGGTCGGGATGTCTGGTGCATCTGGGTCTCCCTCAGGGGGAAGCAACATGGAAGCGAAACGAGGTACAGCAGCTGCAAGACACTCAAAGTCCTCTGGCCTGTCCTCAAGGACGTCCGTGCCAAGAGCACACTCACCCCCGACGGACGGAGGACGGGCAGACGCAGACTCAGCAACAAGAGCAGTGGCGTAGTCTAGACGACAGGCAACAGCAAAGTCAAGCAGCTTAGCAACGAGGGCAGACGCAGCAGTAGACTCGAAGGAAGGGTCAGTGACAGCAGTGGCGAGGAGACGAGAGACAGTAGGACTGGTAGCACGAGCGCGGTGAAACTCAGGGTCAGGGACCTCAGGAAGAGAGGACTCAGGAGGAGCAGGCAGAGGAACACGCTGTGGAACAGAGGAAGGACGAAGTGTCATAGTGTGTGTGCCCAGGACAGGAGGAGGATGCGGACGAGGAACGCGACGAGCAGTGCGAACAAGGGAGGCAGAATGAGACGCAGGCTCACGACGCTCTGTAAGTCCTCCGGTCTGCTCAGTGTAAGGAGAGGGAGCAGGTAGTGGGGAGGCCGGCTGTAACGACGGCTGCGATTGGTCAGGCGGTGGACACAGTAAGGGAGGAGTAAGGGCAGTAGAAGACGGGACACCAAGAACCTGCTGAAGCAGGGGAACGAAGTACGGTCGCGGCCGCACAGTGCCTCCAGGGTCAACAGCTCCAGCACCTCCACCTCCAGCGCCTCCCGCGCCAGTGCCTCCAACTCCAGCGCCTCCAGCTCCAGCGCCACCAGCGCTAGAGCCTTCAGCTCCAGCAGCTCCAGACTCCGTAGGGTCTCCAGCTCTAGCGCCCCCAACACCACCAGTCCCGGCAGCTCCAGTACCCCGGGTACGAGCACCTCCAGGACCAGTAGCCGCAGTACCTCCAGGAACACCAGCTCCAGCAGTAACTCCAGCACCTCAAGCTCCAGCGGCTCCAGCACCTCCAGCTCCGGAAGCTCCACTCCGAAGGCGTGCGCGCCGAACAAGCCACTCACGCAGCTGCTGCGGAGAAAGTCTTGGTGAAACACTAGCAGAATCTCCAGACGAAGCAGCACCCTGAGGCTCAGCACCCCCAGACGCCGCACCCTCCGACTCAGCATCCCCAGGCTCAACACCCTCAGGCTCAGCACCTCCAGGCTCAGCACCCCCAGTCTCAGCACCCCCAGTCTCAGTACCCCCTGGCTCAGCGCCCCCAAGCTCAGCACCCGCATGCTCAGCACCCCCACGCTCAGCACCCCCACACGCAGTACCTCTAGCAGCACCTGAGTCTACAGCTACCTCACCAGGCACAGCACCAAGGGGTGGGTCTACCTGAGAGACACCTGAGGGAGCAGGACCCTGAGGAGGGAGGGGGTCTACCGGAGGGGGACCTGGAGCAAGGAAGAGCGACGGGGGAGAAAGAGGGGCAGAGCGGTAGGGGAAGAGAC